TTATAAGAAAGCATGAAAAAAGAAAAACAAAAACAGCAAAAGCAGCGCACAACAACAATTGTCGAAAATTGAAAATTTTACAAATGTTGACAAAAATTTGACACAAAGTTGAGGCATTCGCCGGCGAACGTGTGGCGGTGTGCAACACAGTGTTTGGCTGTGTGTATATGTGAGTTGGTGTTGGTGTGAAGCGTCGCCTTGGGTAAGCTGACAAATGGTACAACTTTGGTCAGAACCGCGCAGAGATTGACGACGCTAAGCAACCGAGTTAATCAGCTAGCGCAGGGAGTCAGTGCCTGCTTGGCTGCTGCACGAGTGGCTAGCCGTAGAACACTTGCAGCAACAGCAATAACTTGCGACAGTGCAACTTTTGGGCGGCAGCACTTACTTTGTTGTCGTCGAAAAGTTTTGCGGCAACAACTGCAATCACTATTATGTTGCACTCGCGAGCTTAACATAATTTTAGGCGAACAATAAGCCAGTATAATAATAGCGTTTGCCTGCCTTAGCAACAAAATAGCACGCCACAGCACTTGGACGAGCATGAAGCAGTGTTCTGGCCAACTCCGACACAAACACACACCCTCGCACAGAAGCGTAGCGCAGCGCGGAAATGTCAACTGCTTTTAATTGGCTGCGCATTTGCAACAATGTGTGGCAGCACACAAACGCACACACACCCATACATACAATTATTTATGTGCTTACAGCGTCGCGGACAAATTTTGTTGACGCGGTTAATTTTGAAGAATCTTTGGTCGCTGCTTTGATGGCGCATAGCTGGCATGGTGCGTGGTCTTCAGTAAAACTTTTCTATTGACATTTTCTTTGTCTGTTTCCCACTATTAGATTTACAGTTCAAATTTGGCCTTTGGCACTGGTAATAATGTTCGGCGCATGTTAATGAAAATGTAATTCGGGTTTGCAATATTCTCCTGCAATTTTATTGTGTGCAATTAGTTGCAGCAAACCGTAGATTTATGGTAAACAATTGAGTGAACTTTTTCCGGGAATTTAACGATAGTCGTCGTTGATCACTTTAAACTTTGTCATAGTGAATGTGGCCAACCTGCTGTTATAATTTCAGGCGCTGGCCATATCTAGTCGAACATGAGCCTAATTTATTACAAGTTTCACTAGAGAAATGAAGAAGCAGAGAAGAAGAAGTGTTGGCGCCAACCTTTTAAACTCCTCTCTCAAGACGCCTACAGTTAGAGTGTATTATAATATATTTCATTATTGCCTTTACGCACAGCCAAATCAAGGAGGTAGGAGGCAAGGGAAAAAAGAGGTGTGCTGCGCACGAAAGATAAAAATAGAAGGAAATAAGAAGAGAGAAAAAGAACGTTAAATGAATTCTCTCTGTTGTTGCTTTCAGTTAAAATGTAATACTATATTTTTCATTACACTCCGTCTCTTAAAAAGTCTAGATACTTCCTTAAACCTTAGCAAAAAAAATATATATATATACATGAGATTTCGTACAGCCTAATCTATTACATCGTCACTACAATAAGAGCAATTGAAAAAGGAGTGAGAACAAAAGAGCGAGAGAGACAAAATAACAGAGCGTTATACTGATAGATGAAAAGAGAGGGAGACAAATCGAAAGAACGATAAGTGAATACATTCAAATATAAAGAAACAGAGGGATTGATGGATAAATTGAAAGCGAGAGTTAATGAAATAAAGATTTAAAAAATGGCTTGAAATTACAAAAAGCGTTGTACAGACTTTAAGGGTTGTATAGTAAAAGGAAAAAGGGGAGAAGGAAAGGGAAAGAGTTACAGATTAACGCGGTTCGCGATAAACTTGTAGAAGAAAAGGGAGAGTTATCGAGGAATAAAGATAGCGCAATCTTCGGACTGTCATACAATTTTCTTTGCAAATATGTCGTTAATGGTCAAAACTTGTCCATACGTGGCTCACGAGCCTATCTGATTAACCTTACCCAACCAAAATATGGCATTTTAAGTTTTATATATATATATGATAGGTAATGGACAGCTTTGAGTGTTTTGGTGTTTGAAATGCCGATGCTAAATATGATGGACAAGAAATTTATGTCTTGCCCTAAAGTCTTGGTCTAAGGAAGGTTTCTAGAACTGTGTGGTCACAAAAGCTATATTTTCTTAATTCCCTTCAATTCAAGGTATTATACTACGCAAGAGTATAAGTGTAAGAACTTAAGCTATTACAACAAATGTGTGGCATGCAAATCAAAATCGCATTATCACACGTAGATAACGCACACCCACACAAGAGGATGCAAATATAAAAATATCGATGGTATGCATATAAAGAGAAGAAATAATATCGCCAGCATTGAAATAAGTGCAAAAATATTAGCAGCGCTAATGTTGCAGGAACGCACGCACACATACACATTCAAAAAGTATAAAAGCAAAGGAGAAAGCGCTGATAATAACGGCAAAGATGCTTATGAACATGTGTGAAAAAACTTCGTAGCGAATGTGCAGAGAGTAACAGCACAATGCAAGTGGGGGGACACTGAGTGAGTGACGAAAGGAGTAGCAAGAAAGTGTTGCGAGTATGCAGCTAGCATTCAGATTTATTACTGAGTTGCAGTGCAAATCAAAAGGATATGGGTGGGTGGTAAGAACAAACACACACACACACACATCTCCAAATATGTGCACAGACATTTTCGCGCTGTGCGCAACGTGCGGCAAATGCAGTGAAAACTGACAAATCGAGTCGAATGGATGGGTTAGATTCGTGCATGCATAACGTGACAGGAATACAAATTCGTGCAATTACTCCTGCCACATGCATAAGGCGGGTATATGAAAGCACAAGTACAATGCGCTGCACCCAACGCCTGTTTGTATGCTTCTAGGTGTTGTGTCCGTTTGCTAAACACAAAAGTCGTGTGAGAAAGCAACAGTCATTTAATGCGCTTAAAGAGCGTTGTGGTGCCACATTGTGTTGCAGAGGGTTAACACTTGTATCTTGTGGCAAGTAGTTGGTAGCATGCTAAGGGGCTGGTGGGCGTTGATTTGGAAAGTGGCGTGTTTTGGCAGTGAGTGTGAGTAAAGCTTTTCGATATGTTATGAACCAGCTATTTTAAAGCTGGTCATGATAAAGCCGCACAAAAGCAGCATTCTGATTTATTTTAAATTTACTTAAAATTTTTAAAATAAAAAAAAATTTTTTTTTAGTTGTTTTTAATTTTTTTAATTTTATTTTATATTTTTATTAATTCTTTCTGCATATTTTTTACTGGAATTTTTCATAAGTTTCCAACATATGTGAATTGCCGCTTAGATGTTTCCATTGAACAACTTATTTTTTTTCCGCTTGTTAAAACAACAAAAATATTTTATAAGCATTTAAAGCATTTTCCGCAAACCACTCTATACTTTACGTATGCAAGTTATTTATTAAAAATCTCCACACAGCTAAGTACAAATAAACAAAATATCGAATAGCAATGGTAATACTCGTGCTAGCAGCAGCGCAGCAACACTCTAATAGTTCTTAAATACACTTAAGCGCCTGTAATTATGCAATCGTTTTGCACGCATGCATGCAACACAGCGTAAAGTGCTCTTAAGCGCATACCATGCAAATGTAAATGCACACACACACACCCACTTATGTTAGATGAAAGCGCGCACATACACAAACACTCTCATAAAGGTATTATATACCGCTCAAATACACACACATAAACTGCGTGCAACACAATAAGTGTGTATGCGCACAAGTTGTAAGCGGATTTCATTCGATTTGTGCCACATCTAAGTTTTTTGTTGTTATTGTTTCGAAAAATATGATGATGGAAATGTTAAGCAATATGAAATATTTGTACTAACCACTGCATTGAGTGCTTATAAAATATATTTATTTATTTGCGCTACACATTTTTTCCTTGTTTGTAGCAGTGCAACCGAAAGTATTCCTTAATACCCATACAAACGTACATAAATGCTTTCAATTTAATATGCTTATTTTTTAATGTGTTGGTGTTAAGTATTTATAAGCTCTAGGTACGGTAGTAAAAAGTAGATTTTATAAAATCTTGTTACGGTTGTGTACTTCCAGGTATTTTTTTAATACAAAAGTGCGTGGAAAGCTGATTTTACATGCCGCTGTGACCAAAACTATGCAATACTTAGCAATGTTATGCAATGTATGTGCACATTTACTCTAATGACTTTTAATGCGAAAGTTATGCATAAGTTTGAAAAAAATGCAAAAAGTAATTAGTGCCAGGAAATCCGAAATTGAAAAGGAAATAAACTACTAAAAAGCAGCCCACAAGAATGCAAGTAGGAGGAACTCCGAATATTCGTTATTCCTAGAAAAATAACTAAGCTAGCACAAACTAAGCCTGAATGCTATTTTTAATAAATTTTCTGCTTTCGGAGTAATTTGTAGTAACATCGTGTACTCGTTTTTGATACGTAAGCAAAGAAAAATAAACAAACTATCCAAAACCTATGCCTGAATGTTATCTTTGATACATTTTGAGCTTCCGGAGTGATTCGGAGCAAATACGAATACAAGGTTTTCTTACCCGAGCATAGTAAGTGAAATAAGCTACGCATAAACATTGCGTAAATGCATTTAAGCCTTAATTTGTGGTTTCGAAGTAATCGCAAGTAACTCCGAATCGTAAAAACAATAAACCGACCGAGGACTAAGCCTGAATGCCATTTTTAATAAATTTTTTCCTTGCGGAGTAAGTCGGAGTTAACTCCGAAAAATTGGTATTGGTACGCAAGCAGAGGTACAGAAATAATGTTACTATTAATCTATCTGTAATTGCAAGGTAAATATTATTTTGATATAGCAAAGTGGATTGCAGCTAATTTTATGCTAAAATAGCTGTAAGTAATAAGTACAAAAGGTTCTAAGTGTACGCTTTTTGCAATAATTCCGAAGTTTTTGTAACTTTATGTATATATGTTGCTATTAAAAAGAAAACCTTGAACTTAATTTCGCCATTGGAAAAACAATTCGAAACTACCAAATTTTCTTTAAAAACATGATATATTATTTGCGGTTTTTAGTACGACAAGTATTACGGTAATCGTTTCACAATTTCATTCTATTCTCTATATGACCAATACGGCGCTTTGTTCTGTTGTTGTTTGACGGAAGAATAGACTAATGTTTCCTGTTCGCACATTATGACGTTGGACAAAGAAGGGGTTGTGAGTGTGATTTAAAGGCATCAGCTGCCTGTATCAAAGACTCAACTAAGTTCTTTACTATACAGTTTTCATCTTGAAGAATTAATGAATTTTTACCGCTGCAATGCATGATAGATTCGCGAAGCTGACAAATCGCGTAAAATTCTCTTTCACAGTGATGATCATTCATTAGAAGTGTTTTATCATCTATACAAACTTCAAGGCAATCTTCATCATTTTGATTGTCAGGGTTAGTTGAGTACCATTTGGTAAAAAGTATGGGTCGACCAGTGCTGTGTGACATATATCTTCCCTCATTTGCCAAATCGTTGCCATCAAACCAAAGTTGCGAGAGAATACCTCTAGTTAAGATATATTTTTCCACCACCAGAAGTTCGTCTAGTGATTCAATATTCGCCAAATCACCACGAAGAGATCGACAGTACTCAGACGATTCGAACCAGTTCATCTATTTGAAGGTACATATGTTTTAACGAAAATATAATAATTTTTTAAACAAAACACTTGCCTTCAATTCACCGTTTATAAAATAATACTTGTTACCAACTTTTACGAAGGGATGATAATTTTCGTTGTTTTCTGCAAATACTTTACTCGCGAAACTGACGAAAAAGCTTAAAAATATTAAACAAATTTGTATGAAATTCACCATTTCAACGTCAGAAATTTTATTTATGCTGCGTATGTGGCTGTTTCTGACAGTGCTCTCTAATTCACTACTTTACCGCAACCCAGTATTGTATAAAAACTGCATTTTGTGGTACAATAAAATAAAATCCAGCGATTACAGAAATAAGGGAAAAACTTAACAAATTTCAGTAGAATATTTATTAATCACTAATTGTTTGTCGCTTATAATGGGTGACACTTAATTTGCAAAAATCCCAATTTAGAAACGCTGGTTGATTATACTTTCAGATTTGAAGTTCTCAACTTTTTTGAGGGGTAATATTGACAATCAATCGTTTGTTAGGAAGTCTACGGTAAAAATTGCTTTAAAAAGACACCCGCACTCTAAATAACTAATATATAGGGAATTAGCAGAAAAAATCAAAATATTATCAATGATATAGACAATCTTTGAGGAAATGGTACACCTTGTATAAACACATGTTAATTCCAAGAAAATATTAAAAAATATAAAATAAACTAAACATAAACAACATTTGCGATAAGCCCGTGTCCAAAGCCAAGCAGCCGAGATTCAGATATTTAGCGCTTGACTTGTCTATCAGCGTTATCAGTTCATAAATATGTACCTATCCATACAAATATATATGTACATACGTATGTAAACACTCGTGAATAATTCAGGCGCGGTGTCAAAAGTTTTTTCACCGATGTACATACAAACATATATCGATATTAGAGCGAGTCGATTTTTTTTCTTTAAAAAATATGAAATATGCGTACTATGGCATGTGAAAAAACTTTCCACTTACGATACTTTTTTCTAAGCATATATGAAACAAATTTCGGAGAAATTCGGAGTATTAAATCGTTCATAAATTAACTGTTAAAATATTTGTTATGTTGAGTTGTAATTCTGAACTATTTGGAATTAATAATAAGTCGGAATTCATATAGATATTTTCGGAGTAATTCGGCAGAAATATCAAAAAGTATTCAACATATTTCGTAATAGTATATAATCAATGTAGCAACCTTCCACTTATCATAATTTTTCTGAAAAAATAAAAAAATTAGGAGTAATTCGGAGAACGAAGGTGGATTCATAAAGACCTCTCAGGTATCTCGAACTATCTGGGCATGCGTACGAATGCCTTCGTCTTTTGGAATAAGTAAATTTTTTCGGAGTAATTAGATGCAAAATTAGAGTTATTTGAAGTTATTTTGAAGAAAGTTTAATTTGTTCGGAGTGATTCGGATTAAAATTAAGTTTATTTCGGAGTTATTCGAATTTAATTTAAATTCATTCGGTGTAATTTGGAGAAAAGTTAAACCTATTCATTGTAATTCGGAGTACGGCAAAAGAAATGTGAAAGCGTTTCACATATGATTATTTTATAATACTAAATACTAAATATTAGATGTAATTCGGAGTACGAAATGGCGATAAAGATTAAGTTCTTAGAAATACATTGCGTCTTACTTTTATTCCGTACTATTAGAAATACAACATTAATAGGCAAATCTGCGCTTTGTCTATGATTCGGACTAAGTACAAATTTTTAGTAATTTGAATTAAAGTTTATTTTATTCGGGACAACAGCAAAGTTTAATGATTCCCAAAATTAGTACAGTTGCTTTGCAAAATTTGTTTGTAGGAGCACGATCCCTTCTTTCCACTTTGCATTGTAGATGAATAAGTGTTTTTGTACTTTACGCTTACGTTTCTATACTCTTATATATTTATATACATATGTATGTATGGTGAGCATTTAAAGCACCACAACTTGTCTCACTGATATGAAATTCATCGCTATAAAGTTCTACAGGCATAACTTTTATGCGTCAATTCCCTTTAGGACAACTCAATCAAAGAGATTTTCATAGGCGATATTGGGACGTGCGAAAAATCAGAACGATGGCTATCAAAGTGCAAGTGCGCTAATTTATTAATGACACACACACAAACACATCAACGTTGGTGTACACTCACGAATCGCAATGAGTGCATATTATTTATACACACACATACCAAATAAGCGCATTAATTTGGAAGTGCTCATAAACACCTCCAAGCAAAACGCCCAACACTTAGCGAGCTATTTCGGCGTTTAGTAAATTTTATTTGATTGCCAACAATTTAGTGTGGAATATAAAAGCAAGCGTGAGCTGGAGATTTTAGTGTGCGTGAAATATAAGTATGAAATTTAATTGAAAGGTAGAAAATGAGAGATAGAGAGAGTAAGCAAAGCAGTAGCACGCGAACAGTTAAACATATGAGCTACTGGACATATACACGTATGTAGCAGTAAATATCATAAAAATTATAAAAATTTGTTCATGTATATGTGTGCGTGCACTGGTGACACATCAAAAGCTCCAAAAGCTATCAAAAGCAGCGTCACAAAATTATAATGACCGGCCGTAAAAAGTGAACCACACGCCCAGACGTGCTAGAAGCAATACCCAACAGAGTGCTGCTCATGGCCATCAAGCATATAGGTAATAACAAAAGCCAGAAAACACACACGCACATACAAAACATAACCGCCAATTTACTTTCATTGCCTGTGCGTGTCCTTGACGCTTTGACGCCGCTGCACGTCGGCCATGCTCCGCAGCCGTTTTAATATAATAGCCTGACGTTTTAAGTTTAATCATAAAAATATTGCATGACTTCCGTTGGCGACTTGTTTTATGCTTCCGGCTAACGGAAGTGTTTGTAATTCACCGGTTTGTGTGGGTGTGCGCGTTCTAGGGACGATCCAATACATGCGTACGTAAAGTTATTGGCCATCGTCAGGCACATATTAACAGCTTTCTCCAGCACTTTGGCGCAAAAAGCTTTAAATTTTCCTTTTTCTAGTTTTCACGGCACATAACTGTGCCTCAATGACAGCAGGAAGTTAGCTATGCTAAAGCCTCATAAATAATAAAAATTGTAGGTGTTAAACGCGCAGCAAAATATCCTTTATTATTGTGTTTTGAAGGTTATTAACGGCAGCTACTGCAAGCGCTCGCATATATTCGGTGGCTTTCGCTTGTGGTTCGTCCATGCAATATTAATTAGCTTGGAGTGTCTGTAAGGAACGGAATAAGGACACATATTGGCTAAGCAGTACGCAATTTTTCTCTTAAAAGAAGACTTCTTAAATGAAAAAAAGGTATAAAAGTAAATGGCGTTGCCATATTAGTATTCCCAACTTGATAAGTTCCAGTGCACTTCAGGATAATATTAAATTCGAAATGTTTAAGCGTAATAAACCACAATTTTTCCGTAGATATGTGGAATTGGATAAAGCATTTTCCCTCCGAAGTCCGATTAACAGTCATCCGAGTGGACTGCACGCGATGAACCCGCACCCAGGATATCGAACTGCCTTCGCATCCACCACCTGCTCTCAGATCTCAAAAGTAAGCTCGCTGGGAAGAAATTTTTGCCGAATGAAGAAGTGATCGGCAAAACTGAGGTCTATTTTGAAGCAAGGCAGAAATTTATTACAAAAACTTAGACGAAAAGTTAGATGTAACAACCTTGAAGGAAACAACAGTGAATAAAAAATCGATTTCGCCTCAAACTTTTTTGGAAATAATGACTTAACTTATCTTTAAAGTTTCATAGAAATTCATAATTAATTAGAAGTTTTGCAGCATGACGCTTAAGATGGTAAAATAGGGTAGGTAAATGCATTTATAACATCTAAATCCTCCAGCGCGTTTTACCTCTCCAAAAATACTGTATATATCAACTAGTATTTAGCAGTAATTGAATTTGTGCTGCTAGCTTTCGTTCCGTAGCATTTGAGAGATTGCAATACAATTGCGAAGCTGAGTCGGTTCGCGGCACGATTTAATCCACTGGCACGGAATTTATTAACTAACAGTTACCAAGCAAGCAACCGTTAGCCGCGCGCTTTTAGTACGCTACACTATTTGCTGCGCTCCTTTCTGTTGTTTTATTGTAGCGCCTTTCGCATTTAGTAGCGGCGCTGATGCTACAGGTAAAATAGCGACAGCTAATTCCATAAACTACTCTTATTGCCACAAAAAGCACAAAAGCAATCGGAGCTGCTAAGCAGCGGTGGCAGCAACAATTGTAAAACAGCTATTTAAGCGAGAAAATAAGCGAGACGCAAAGCGGTAAATAAGCAACAGCAGGCAGACGGAGATGAACGGCATGCAACGACAAATGAAATGGCAGCATAACTTCAGCCAATAAATAAGCGCGTCTAATCTTAAAAGCACTTCATTAATTTCATGCCACAATAAAGAGGCAAATGCGGGCGTGAGTTGGTACATGACGTGGCTGGTGCTAGTACGCGGCAACGAAGCACATGAACATGAGATTGAAGAGTTATATGGCAGCATACATGCAGCAAGGTTGTAGCCAGCAACTTGCCACATATGCACATGCACACACACACACACAGTGCGGCAAACACGCTGATGCTTCCGTTAGCGATAAGGTTTAACTTAATAAGCCACACAGGAGCAACAAACCGGAGTTATAGCAGCAACAGCAACAACAACACGCACCGCAGCTGTAATACTTGTAGCAAGCAAAGCATACCCCCTTATACGGCGCGCCGACAGTTGCCTTGAATAGCAGATCAAGCGCAGGTAGCATTTGAAATGAATGCAATGAAAAAATTCATAGTAATGGCTGTTTGCAGCGGCTCTGGGCGTTGGTGGCTGTGCGCTTGCTTACGAATCCAGTTTGAATTTATGACAAAACCATTGCCGCATATCAAATTATAATGCAAAAGATTTTCCAAAACCACAATACCAGCGCAAGGATATGCGAACAGACAAATAAGCGCGTACAACCTGAAACACATACGAGTACACGTTCTGGAGGCGCTCTGCCGCTCTTCCTTCCATTCACAGATTTTGTGATTGTTGTGATTTAACTGTTTGTGGATGAGTGTGCGTGTCGTTGAGGTGACCAGAAATAGTACCTCTCGTTTGCTAGCTTGAAGATATTGGAATATTAAGCTTGGCTTAAGGTAATCTAAGCTTTATGTTAGGTTAGGTAAGTTAGGCCGTGAGGTTCACTCAAAATAGTTGGATCTCACTTGAACAAATATTCACCGTTTGTGTCACTCATAAGTTCCAAAGGTGA